CTCCCTTCATCTATCCCTCCCTCCAACCATCTCTCCCTCCCTCCCTCCATTCATCCACCCACCCATCCTTCCATCCATCCACCCATCCATCCTTTCTTCATCACAAACAAAGATGATTGCAGCTGACCCAGCCCAGATGTGCAATGAATGCGTGACCTGTAAGCCTTTCCAGCCCATTTCAGCTCCCCTCCTCCCTGTGCCCCAAATCTGCCCTTCTCACGAGCAGTACTGAGGTGAGGCACTCTGTGCAATCAGACTTGCCTCTGTGCAGCTGACAACCAGCCCTCCAAACATCCTCTGGCCCTGTGATGTAAGCCAGGATCACCAGTGAGTCTTCCTCCGGTTCTCGGCACACCGGTGGCATCGCTGGCTGACACACTGCAAGGAAACCCGCTGGGGGGACACATGACTCACAGAGACTTCAGACTGCCGAAGCACCGCCAGTGACATTACCATGAAGTACGCAAGGCAGGACAGCCTCCGGCCAGAGAGATGTCGGCCTCCTGAGTTGCATGCCTGCACCGGAGAGATGGAGGTGGTGCCAGCAGAAACCATGGGAGGAATGAGGGAGGTTCACTCTCAGAGAGAAATTACCCGGGTGTGTCAGAGGACCAGCCATGCGGTTGCGGGGCTGGTAGCCACAGTCCGGCTGGCACGCTGTGAGCTGGCAGCCCGGTATGCAACCTCGAGCTCACCGCTTGCTCAATCGTATGCAGGAGGGAAGAAAATACAGGATTTGAAGGGCTGCTATGGGCTGGGATTGAGATGAGCAACAGGTAGGTGGGGAAAGCCCAAGCCAAACTAAGGCAGTCAGCTCAAAGCTAGATGTAAAAAAATAGTTCCCACCAGGGAAGGCTGTGCAAGCATGGGGCTGTGGCTGCCATCAGCTGTCACCCGGCAGAACAGGTTCCTCTGTGACATTACAAGAGAAGGAGAGAGGAAGTGAAAAGCTGAGGAGCATATAATGAGGGCCTGTGACACATCACCCAATTAGCAGGGATTGACCTACGGTGCTCTTCTAACTGGGTACCAGGGAGACTTGTACTGCCTCAACACGGAGGCTCCAGGAGTTGGTGGTACTTCTGCTGGAGGGACCATGAGTGCTGGAAGGTGGACAAAGCACACACAAGAAGTGCCTTGGTGCTAAGCACAGCCCTGGAAGCCATCAGGGCTCTCCTGCTACACACTGCCAGAGAGATCTGCCATGAGTAATGTTGGACTGTGCTCAGATTGCATCTTTGTGTTGCTAAGCAGACCTCTTTCCTCCTCACTGCTGCATGCACTGCCCACTGAGGCACCCGGGGAGGAGAAGCACAACAAAAGCAGGTAGAACCTGGGCAGAGCTGTTCCATCTGGGCAGAGCTGTTCCACTGCAGCCTGGCTCTGCCTGACCACACCTTTGCTTTGGTGCTCGTCAGTGGAAAGATAACAGAGAAAGTAAGGCAAGGTCAGGAAGTGAGTACTGAGCTGGGGAGAAGCAGAGCTGTCATTTCAGTGACTCATCTTTTCCGAAGGAAAGGGTTTGGACACATGTCAGGGCACTGGGAAAACCCATCCACCTCACCTCCCAACTTCCTTGGGTCCTTGGACCACTTGAGCAAGAGCTCAAAGCCTTGACACAACTGCCCTTCTTCTGTTGGTTTGCTGAGTGTAAAAGAGCTCATCGGTCCCTTTGGTGACAGTCAAGGAAGGCTGACACAGAAATAGGATTGCACAAGACAGGCCTAAGTCCTGCTGCCTTCAAGTTCACTTAGAACTGTTTTTTTGTGATGGCGTCCAGTAATAAGGATAGGCACCCTTTTCATTTGCTTGACCTCAAGAGCAGTTAAGACAGACAGCAATTAAGTTGATGGAAAAAGAGGCGACTCTGCGATCTGCTGGGTGAGCATCAGCTCTCCCTACAGGCATGGCACCTTCTGCAGTAGCATTCTTGCTTTACAACATCTCAACCAAGCTTAGCTTTGATCGAAACACACAGACATTCTGACTTTGTTGAGAACTTTTATTTACAGGTGCAAAATTGTTTTGAGCATATTCACAAGAATAAATATAAAATTACTCTTCAGAGTAAGAAGACGACTTTTTACAAAAATATATCTCTTTCGCACAGAACCACTGACGTGGAGTTCTCAAGAAATATTATTTAATAAAAAAATAAAACACTGCAAACAAAATACTTGACCTATACTGATTGGATTACCAAACAATTGAAATTTGTAAAAGGATATAAATATTGTAAATATTGTTAATAAAAATAACATTTAAATAGATGGGGAGTCACAAAGTCTGCCGAGGTGAACAAAATGCTGCAGGAAGTCACATTTTCTTCTACAGGGCACCAACCTCCTTGTACTCATTAGTGTTGGTGTGTCTCTTCTTGTTTCGGTACCTGAGAACAGAGAGAGGTGTCATTTCTGGAAAGCCAGTCATTCCAAGGGGCTTTTTAAGGAACAAATAGGGGGAAGGAGGAAGACAGAGAACTTAACATGACCTCTTTGTGTTTGTTCCAACTCTAGCAGCTGGGCTCTGCTTGTGCTTATGTCTAGGTCTGAGATAACTTGCATGCAGAGCCTCATGTATAAGCTTAGCCCCGAAGATTTCACACCTACATTGAAATCTTGCTGCTGGTAGTGGGCTGTGAAATCCTGCTGCATCCTTGACTGCACTGGGGCTGAGTGCCCCAACCAATGATGTTATCTTCTCTGAGATGAGCTGTGCCACCAAGACTTCAGGCAAGGAGGATGAATTTAGGCAGCTACCACCTACCTATCAGATCTCTGAGACTCAGATCTCCCTCTGCAGCTGTTCTGCCTTCTTGGCTCTCTGACTGCACCTTGCAATTAGTTATTAGCACAAAGAACAATTCTTGTTGCCCTTGTGTCTGTTGGTGGAGAAATTACTGTCCCATGTGCTCCACAGCTGGCAAAACAGTGCTTTCCATATGGCACAGTCACCACAGCACAGCAGATAGCATTAGCTATGGTAGGACAAGAGGGAATGGCTTCAAGTTGCACCAGGGGAGGTTCAGGATGGATATTAAGAATAATCTCTTAGAGAAAGTGAGGTGAGGCATTGGAACGGGGCTGCCCAGGGAGGTGGTGGCATCACCATCCCTGGAAGTGCTTAATGGAAGGATTGATGTAGTACTCAGGGACTTGATTTAGTGGGCAGTACTGATGGTAGGTGGATGGTTGGGCTGTATGATCTTAGAGAACTTTTCCAACCTTAATGATTCCACGATTCTATCCAGCTGATCTACAGTTCTTGATAACCAAGGAAATGGCCTTACCAAGAGAAGAAACTAGAGCTTTCCCACTCCCTGCCTGCTCTTTCATCTACTCCAACACATTCTCTATGAGAGGAGAACCAACCTGCTCAGTGATGCAACAGGGTCAGAAAGCATCTGCAGGTACTTGTGCTCAGCATGACCTAGCCCTCCATTTGGGTTATACAGTCAATACATGTTTTTTTTTTTGGATCATGCCAGAAGGTTTCCTCAAACTATCTCCATGCAATCAAGTGGGTATAAGTACCACTGTCCAACTGGACATCTTACTGCATGCACACTGCTGAACCATGAAGGAAATGCTCTTACCTCCTGCAGATGTAGTAGCCTGCGATAGAGATGGCGATGAGGAAAAGCAGAACGAGGATGACTGTCAGTGCCACATACTCCGTACTGAGGGGCTGTCGGACGAGTTCTGAATGCACACATCTGACACCAGAGAAGCCTACATCACACCTGAGGATAACAGAGACATAATTGGAGAAATTGCCACAGGGTTACATTTCAGCACTCTGCAAAGCATGCTGTGCTGCTGGCTGTTGCCTTAGGGACAAGCAACTTCTACAGTCAAACCCCTTGCAGGTCTCGGAATGCAAATCCTTCAAGTAAGTGAGGAATACCCTTAGAGTGTCCAGAGGGTCATTTTTCATAAGAGACCTCACTGCCCTGCCTGCAGTCTGGACCTCTTGCTATTGTACATGAAGATGAACAATGGGAGGAACATCACAGTGAGTGTGCCGTGCCTACGGTGGGTTGGTGACTAACCTCACTTGTCTCAGACTCTCACTCCGGTTTCACTGCAGCCAGCTCATATGCTTCATACTTGCTTAAAGCCAGCTGTGGTCTGTTACAGATACACTGCTTCTTTTTAAGTTCTTGTGAGTATTTAAACACTTTGCTGAGTTGGTGGTCCCCTAACTGTCACCAAGATCAGATTCACAAGCAGTTAATCCCAAAGACCACATCAGGGAGGCTGCAGGGCGCACTGCCCTCGGTCCTTACCTGCAATAGTGCTCATCCAGATCCACTATGTACACACACTGTCCGTGAAAACAGTAGTCCTTCATTTCAGGCTTGCATCTGGTTATCCCAACTTGAGCCACCCGAGGACTGTTCTCTGTCTGGACTGCAGAGAGATTTAGTTAGCATCTCATCAGTTTCATTTTCCCTTTCCCAAACAATACGCAAGCATTACATGTCCAACAAGTCTGGCTACCAACAGAGCTGCAATGCAGTGGGCACTGCAGCAGGTGAGCCTTTTGGATAGAGTTGGACTTACACTGACTCTTCCCCTACAAGTCCCACATCACGTATTTCTGCTTTCACAGCAGTTTTAATCATAAGACACAGATACTATGCTGAAAAGTGATACTAAAGAGAACACAGGCCTTAAGAAGGTTCATGTTCAACATCAGCAAATGCTCTGTGGGAATCTGGGAACGTGGTTCAGCAGTAACCTATGGGTAGAGTTGAAGTGTTTTCCAGGGGCAACTCTGTGAGGCCACCAGCTTGAGGAAGATGGCAACCAAAGACTTGCTATTTGCAAAGAGAGCTGTGGAGAACACTTACCTAATGCTGTCGTGCAGTTTTCCATTTCACCAGGCGCACATAATGGGATCACTGTTGTGCCCATGACTGCTTGCAGTAGGTAACCTGTGAGAGAATAAAGACAGAATAAGGTTCCTGTTGAGTACAGTTACGCATTGGCATGACAAGCCTGCATTCATCGCAGGAAGTGATCAACATGGAGAACTCCTGGGGTCATGGCTGTCCCTGGGCAGAGGACTTCCCAGGACCCAGCAGTCAGCATGGCAGTACAGCAGCATGCTGTGAGGGTCAGTACTCAGCCAGGCTCAGCACCCATCACGTTCTGTCCAAAGGAAGATCAAAACAAAGCTGCTCTTCTGCAGGAGACAGCTCCCTCAGCCTTGCTGCACTTTGCCTGAAATGCTGGCCAGTTTCTGCATTCACTCCTCTCCACTATTCAAATGAAAGCCCACTCAAAAAGAGCTAACATGAGACCCCAAACTCTTTCTGCTCACTGGATTCAAGAGATGTCAACCCACTCACAGGTCATGGGCCAGTGCCACTCATCTGGGGAGGCCTTGGGAGGAAATGAGGACACTGCTGTTCTTCCTCCACCACCCACAGTACTGCAAGAGGATGAGAGGCAATGGCCTTAGGTACAGGCTAGATGTTAGGAAACATTTCTTCTCAAGAAGAGTGGTGAGGCAATGGAATGGGCTGCCCAGGGAGTTGGCAGAGTCACTGCCCCTGGAGATGCTCAAGAACCGTGGAGATGTGGCACCAAGGAACGTGGTTAGTGGGCATGGTGGGGATGGGTTGGGGCTGTTCTTGGTGATCTTAGAGGTCTTTTTCAATCATTACGGTTCTGTGATTCTAAGAACTGCAATTCAGCAGGTCTGCTGTGGGTACCTGCCACACTGGGACGGACTGCAGCATGCAGGCAGAGGAATCTGGCTGCATTTCTCTAGGGAGCAGGGACCCTCCTTCCTTTCTCCCACAGGTGCAGCCTATAATTGTATTTTGACAGGACAAGCATTCCAGTACTTGAATGAACATTTCCAAGAAGGATCTAAAGGCTCCATGACTAGCCCACAGGAAGCAATGAAGGCTTGTCCCAGCTGAGCATGAATACACTTTGGGAATATCCCTGCTGTGCTCACAACCAAACCTGTTCAGCTACGAGCCCCATGCCACAGCAACCAGCAGTTGGTGTCTTTGGGCTGTTTGCCTCCATTAACTCATCAGCTCCTGCATGGCTAATAGATGGAATGTGCCTTCATAGTTTCTTGATCACTCCAACTCCAGTTATTAGAAAGCTTCATTACCCCTCATTGCTAAATGTACAGCAATTCAGGAATTTTATGCAGCTCATCCATTTCTGGGTGATCAGCAGGGCATCCCTTAAGACGCTATTCAGTTAGATGCTAGAAAGGCAGAACATCCGCCTCAGATGGACAGAGATTTTTGTCCTAAATACATTTCCTGCACAGCCAGGTTACCACAGGACTTTAGAGAAAGGACACAGACAGGGTGCACCCGACCAGAGCCGCAGTAACAGAGCAGTGACATGAGGGACCATAGAGGAGTGTGCCAGAGACAGCTGCTCCTGTTGCATGACTCAGCAGGAGCTGCCTCGCACTCCGACAGGGCAGGACCTGAAAGTTTACTTTCAGGGTGGGATTTTTATTATTATTATTATTCTTTTAATTTTTATTTATTTTTTACAGCACTTTGCGTTCAGTACAGATTTCATCAGGAGCAGCTGGTGGTTGGGTAGATGGGTTTTAAGCCAGCAGAAGGTCTCTGTTCAGCCTACACACTTCTGCTTTGGCTTGTATGCTTCCTCCACCTAAGTGTGATCTGAGCAGTTCCTTTTTAGTCCAAAGCTCTCTGTTGGACAGATACCAGAACACAGCTGAGAAACCCCAACCAAGGCGGACTAGAAGTACAACTGAGAGGCAGGTCAGCCCTTCTCTGTGCTCAGAGCACCAATGGAGACAAAACATTAGACACTGTAATCGACAGACACACAAAGCTGAGCAAAGCCTGCCCCATCCCAGCAGCCAATATCCTCCACCTGACTGCGGGCACAGGCCAGAGGCTAGAGCACAGGTGTGGTATTTGCTGACACCCAGCAGTATTTTCGACATTTGGGCAAAGTCCTTCCTGCTCTGCACCATTACATTTTGCCCTTTCCCCCATGCACATATTTTTCCTCTGACATCAGTGGGAGGGGGATCCTGCAGGAGGATTAGGGATCCACATGCTGCAGTAGCAGAGAAAGACCTTTCCCAGAATAGTTATCAAGTGATGTATATCAAACGTAGGACCTGGGAGAGGTATTTATATTTTTATTCCTTTGCTGTTCACTAAGTAAATACTGCGCAGGGTACAAGATAACAGAAATGAGGTTGTTGGTATTTATTAATACCTCTCAGGAATGCTAGTGCTATGCCGCCAGCACGCAATACCTGATCAGGTCCTGCGGGTATCACTCTACAATTAACTCTGTTTCTGGAATGGGGGTATTACTGCAGTTTGCTGGGCTCTTCATGAAGGATGAACAAGAGATAGAGAGTGGCTCCTCAGATTCCTGCAGCCTTTGCCAGAGGTGATGTGCTATGATAATTATCATGTCGGCTACTGTGGCTTCCAGCTGCAGGATGAGGGACATACAGGACATATGGAACCAAGAACTAGTCTCTCTGCAAGATTCACACCAATTCAATTGGGGAATTGTTAGGTTCCTGAGAGATGCTAGGTCCCCATTATCACTTGATTTGGCTTGACTCGTCCCGGAGATCACTGGCCATGTACTGATTCACTTGCGGAAAGCTCCCTAATGCTATTTAACATTTGGCACCTCTGCGCTCCCCCCATATGCTTGTCACTTGGGTTTCACTACCAAAGAAGTGCCAAGCACAGTATTACCCAGGTGACATCTCCCTGGTGGGCCTCAGTCCATTTAACTTGGGGGATGGATCCAGCTGGATCCCCACTATCTGGTTTCACACACTCAGAGTCCACCTGACTGCCTAAGGCCTTCTTTGTGTAGAGGGAGCAGGGAACACAGGTCAGCCTGTCTCAAAGGCTCTGTGAGCACCACTACCACCACCATCCAAATTCAGTGCATCACCTTCCGTATCTTTCTGCAGTGAACCACTCTGCCCTACCACACACCTCTCCAGGCTATGCCAGACCAAACAAGCCCTTCTAGCAGTAAAGGCCAGGTGGGGTGCCTGTGCTCCAGGTGAGGATCACAGAACCATAGGGTTGACCATGACAGCCTTGCTAACGGCTTGCTCTACTTCAACATGTGGCTGTGCAACTCAGTCCTCACACCAGCACCTCTGGAATTTGGGTTATCCATGTACACTGAACACATGCCCTGGGAAAGGGGACACAGTCATTTGAGACAATTTTAACCACTGCAGGGAGAGCACACCTCCCCATCTTCATGCTTGGGATATAACACCTTGCTTCTGCTTAGTGCCCCAGGTGGGATGTACACAGCTGTACAGCTGTGCTGGCTGTATGGCCATGCCCAGCAAACACATGCCTAACACTCCTCTTCCTGGGATGAGACATGCCAGGGACACAGGCTGCTCTTCCCATCTGTAAAGGAAATGTTGTCAGCCCTCTCTGCCCCCCATTCCTCTATACTCCGTGTAAGGTGATAAGGAGAGAGATCCAAATAAATCCCTCCTAGGGCAATGAGCTGAAGCATCTGTGCATGTCTCTGGGAAGCAGTGTCTGCACTTCATCATGTTGCATATTGCATCCATGACTTCCGAACTGCAGACTCAGAGACACAGATGCCCTAAAGCAGCTCTGCAGACAGCAGCCTGCATGGGATGACCATCACTCCTGCAGTGCCCACACAATCCCCTTGAACTCCGGGCCAGGACTTACCCTTAAGAAGAGATAATTCAGATAATTACTTATTACGTGCACCAGTCATTTCAGCACCATTTCCACCCCCGTGCAGACCTGCACACCTATGATTGGATTCGCACACCACCCTTGTTCCCAGCATGGGCCCTACACTGCAGGGAAAGGAGAAATCCATTATTGCTTCCAATCAGATACACCACCTGCTGCCATCTTCTGTATCTCCAGGTTCAGAGACCTCTGCAGTCAGCTCAGGCATGACACAGGAAACCACAAAGTTCCCCTGAGCCAGTGACAGCCTGGATATGGAGCTGATGATGGCCACTGAAGTTAAGTCCTGCCTTAGGGCAGTGAAGCTCTGGAGCTTGGCGCTACAGCAGCGATCAGCTGGAGACATATTTCCCAGCTGCACCTTGGAGTTCTGCTTGAACTGCTGACCTGGGATAGAAAGGCAGTGAAATGCTCTCAGCACTTGCTGTGAGGCCACCTCACTGTGACTAATCTGTCCCCTACCATTAGATCCTCTGCCTGCCCCGGAAATACATCAATCTGTACACAAATCCATGAAGACATACCAGTTCCTTCCAGTACCAGCTGTGTGCAAAGCACAGTTGAGTCACAGGCTAAAAGACGTTTAACCTGCTGTCACTGCAGCAGCTGAGCCACGAGCCCTATGGAAAACCTGGCCAAGAGGAAAGACAGAAACTCCTTCTGCAATTGGTCTTGGGGTTGGCTTTGGGACTGATGCCCCATTGCCTCAGAGCCTGAGCCCAGTACTGCAGGCATGTGAATGCGCTCTGTGATGATGACAGAGTGAGTGCTGCAGGTCTCAGTCCTGCCTCAAGTGTTGCTGCACACTGTGTGCATCACCCCAAAGGGTCACTGCCTCATAGCCCCAGTGGAACTGTAGGGTGGTGATCAACTGTGTGCTCTGAGACTCTGGGTGCTATAAAGATGCGCTGTTTGGTGCCAGCTGTCAGGAGCACATGCAACGTGAGAGGCGCTCACTTCGGGTAAACAGGGGAGAAGTGGCGAGGCCAACGGCCTGTTCTGTAGCAAGCAGAGGCCCCTCTATTTGGCCCCAGCACTTAGCTCCCCCAGAGCAGTAGGACAGGAAGAGAGGACAGAGCAGGGAGAAGGGAACGAGCACACACCTGCCCCCATCACATCGCACCCCTGCACATCCAACATCCCACGCACTCACCGAGGAAGAGCAGCAGGCTGCGGGTCCACGGGCTGCCGGCGTCCATCGCTATCGGGTTGACAGAGGAGGAAGAGGAGGAGAGGGAGGAAGGCGGCGGCAGAGCTGCGGAGCGCTGTGGGGCGGCCGCGCCGTCCCGGTCTTTATGTGCGGCGGAGAGGCGGGGCGTCACGGTGATGAAACGCGGCCGGGCTCGGAGCAGGTGTCCGTCCCCGCCGCTTCCTCCCGCAGCGCATTCCGCCTCCTCCCGCCCCCCGTGCCCGGAGGCGATGCCCCGAGGAGGACGGGGGCACCCTCGGCCCAGACTCCGCCCCCCGGTGCACGTGCTGCCGTAATCTCTCTTTCAGCAAACATTGCTGCGGAGGCACTCCTGGCTGTAAAACGGGCTCCGGGGACTCGTGGCCACGGCTGAGCGCAACATTGTTGGGGCCGGGTGTAATGATGAGGGGCTAGGCCAGTGCAGGTGGGTGCAGAACCGCTAGGATGGGGCCTGGGGATACAGCATACCCCTAGCACTGCCAAACGTTGACCAACAGCGAGGGGCAGGCAGCCACAAACTCACTGCCCTCCCCAGTCTCCTACCTGCTGGCATTTCCCGTCACCCCTCAGCCCACGCGTGCCATGAGCCTGGGCTCTAGGTGCAGAAATGGTCCATTAGGTTCCAGCACAGGCCACAGGAATGTAGCACCTCACCTCCACCTGTTGGGATGGCTGAAGGGCACAGTGCCCCTCCAGCGCTTGGCAGCGTGGGCAGCTGCTGTGCCAACTGACCAGCACTTGGCCGGGTTTAGTCCTTCCTGCGTTCTGCTGAAGGCCATTGCTGCACTCCATTGCTAGGTGAAGCATGACCTCGTTGCCCACGCCATCAGAGTTGGGGGATACGCCACCCACATCTCTCTGTACATGTGTCTGACAGATGGAATGGTTTTTGCCTGAACTGCTCAGCAGTGGGAGCTGTTTCTTTTCCTTTTAAAGTAACACCATTACCTGCTTCCTCAAAAAAAGGTAAGGTTATACCCTATTTAGTATGGAACTGATAAGCCTACCTCATAGTGCAAGGAATGTGACTGTAGATAGCAAGGTGCAATCAAATAGTTGATAACTCCAGTATTCATAGTTTCTCTACTGCACAAGTGTAATTAATACAACAGAGTTCACTACAGAGGATACTGGAGAACATGACAAAGCATGTCTCCATGCTCAGGTTCCAGTTCTAAAAAACACATTAATTTGGGGAGTTTGGGAACAGATCTGGTACTTATGAGTCACTCTTCCGCTTTTTTAAGGAGCACTTTCTTGGATCCACAGAAGCGTGGAGATGCTGAAAGTAAAAAGCTCAATGTGTTACTACTGCATTACGTCAGCATAACCTGTTAACTGTGCAAACATAAGAGTTGGCAAGATTGGGCATCAAAATAGCTGCGTGGAACCGAAGTTCACTTTGTGAGGAAGTGGAACAATGTAACCTGAATCTTTTCCCAAGTCCATTTTTGTCCCTGCAGCACTATGGCCCCAATACGATCACTTCATTGCATTAGGATGAACAGGTGGTAGCTTTTCTGATGCCACATGACTGCTTTTGTTGCTTCTTTAATTGGGGCTGATCCTCTTTATTAAGGACTTTATTGTCTGCTCTTTTGGGGCTCACAGTGAGTAAAGGAAGTAATTGCAATCATAGAAAAACGTTTCTGCATGTGGGCATTTTCCAGGATGCCTTAAAAGCAACATCATTGCAGAACTTCCACTTTATAATTAATTTCACCCTTAAATTCCTGTGTGATTTATCCTCTGAAAAGAGAGCATTTAATTATAGTTCTGTACCGGTATCCAGATACCAGGTAACGCTGACACCATTGAAGCCATTCATTGGAATTTCCTCTTTCAGATTTGAATTTGTGGGCAAGAAGTATCACATACAAATCTTTGCTTCATCTTTGTGTAATTTTCTCTGTCTTGTGGTGTATGTTTCCACATCAGCCATCCTCACTTGCACGTTTCACCATCCTCTTCCACTACGTGGAGGTGCCTCTTTGGACACTGCCTGTACACACTCTAAGTTCCAGTTGCTACTCTTCACATTGGGTAGCACCTTCCTGCACCAATGGATCCAATGTAAGGCAGATTAATTACATCCCATGAATCCAAGGGGAAAAGCAGAAGTTAGATGTACATTTTCCTTTGCTTGAGAATGCGTTTCTTCATGGTGATTGGCTGTAGAAGAATACAGGTGAATTCCTAATAGTGAACTATCACTTTATGTATGTGTTCTTGCATAACCAAACCCATACATGACAGATGACTCCTACTTTCTGTAAAACCCACATCCAGTTTTACATACTGCCATTCTGGCTACTGGTCTGCATTGCTTTTTATCTGTTGAGAATACCACCTATTTCCAAAAGCAACATGTTTTTGTTAGAAAGTGTTTTTGAAAATAGAAGAAAATCACAACCTTGCCTTGAAGCACTGGATAACTTTACACAAGAAATAAAAAGGTGAAAACTATGACCACAAATACTGTAAGAAGGGATATACCTACTTGGGATCCATATTTGAGATAGACTGCAGGAAATGGAGTAAGGAAAAAGCCTTGAGCCAGACTTACTCTATAGTCAGACTCAAATCTACTACGTCTGTGATGAATCATTTAGGGCCAGTGTACTTAAACAACCAAGATCTCCCATAAACGATGAGTGTTCAAAATGCTAACCCAAGGCTGAAAGTGGCTCTTCCTGGAAACGCAGGGTGAGGTCAAAGCTCCTGGACAAAAGACATTTTGCTGTTTAAAATAACAATCACCTCAAATTCATCAGTTTCTTGGGCAACTTCTTGGGTCAGCATTAAGCAGAAATTGAAATAAAAACAGAAACAACAAACAAAAGAGCTCTAAATCCCATCTATCTTGATGCATCTCAGAAGATGGAAAGGTAAGGGCAAAGGCAGGTTTTCACTCTGCTGGCATATAGGAAATTTCCATTCCTCTGAGCAGCTCCTGAGTGTCCCAACACATGCTGCCGGCAGGAAGAGCTCCTTAGTGCTCATCTGCTGTTTTCCCTTTCCTAATTATAGCTCTCTGCAAAGTGGTTCCTTCACCTCCAAGGAGGTGGCAGCTTCTTTCATTTACAGGATCTTTTCATGGCTTCTGTCTTGACTTGCTGCTAAGCAAACTTGTATTTGTACCTGTGTGAAGGGTGCACTGAACCAGGTTCCATCCATGAATTTAGTCAGTTTGGATTCTTTGCTCCTAATTATTTGTTAAGACTCTGAGTAGGACCAAGGTGGAAGAGGAGTGATTTCCCCTCAGTGGGTGGCAAGAATTAAGCTATGAGCCATTCTGCCTTTCCCCCCTTTACCTGGTCCCACAACTGATACTTTCGTGCGTGCATACAGCAAAGGCTCAGAGAAGCATGATGCCACATTTCTGAATTGCCTTCCTTGTGATCTAAATGCATTTTATTGTTAGCAAACAAGAAGCACACCATGACATGACAGTGTGTTGCTTGCAGCCAAGCTCAAGGCACTTCTGCTCAATGGTTCTGAGCACAGCAAGCCTCTGGGGACAGAGAAATGGCAGAGAGAGCCACTGCTGAGAGGTGGTGTGACTCAGCTGCACTCACTGCCTCCTGTTGGCTTTCACCACAGCACTCAGCTCCAGCTGTGGGCTCTGCACCGCTGCCCTTCTCTCCTCTCCTGCATCCTTGCTGTGGACAGCCTAGAAGGCGGAGGGCAAGGAAGATGCTCTGAATGCCACCATCAGAGGGAAGAAGACAGCTTGTTGTGGCCTCCACATTTTGTCTGTGACTCAGTGGTGAGTGCCACTCGCACGCTTGGCCATGTGCACAGAGATGGGCACTCTCAGCACGAGGCGTGGTGCTGGGGATGATGAAGTAAACAGCAATTCGCTGGAACTAGATCAGCCAGCACACATTCCCAACTCAGAACCTAGGAAAGAGGCACAGGTCCGTGGTGTATTTGTTTGGCCCAGTGATGGCTGCTAGGCACGAGAGCAGATGCACTTAGTGGAATTCCCCCATCCACTGGCATTATGGGACACTCCTATTACTGTTCTTATAATTACTGTTAATCATTACTATTACTGCAATGACCAAAAAGAAAGCAGTCGGGATCCGGCCATCATTGGAGCAGTGTTGTCATGGAGGGATGATGAGACAGCCCGCCCCAGGGAACCCATAAATGTGATGCCCAATTCATCACCACAGTCACATTGCAAAGTAGGACACTGCAGTGCCCACTGAAGCTCCCCTACAACCTGAGCAAAAACAAACCACAGCATTCCCTTGGGCTGAGCTAGAGCAGCCTCGTTTGTATCTGCTTGGAGCCAGGATGCTGGCATCACACTCTGTCCAAGTGTGGCTGGAGGGTGAGGAGCTGGCCAGGAACATCTCAGGATCTCAGCACTCAGCAGGATGTTTCCCTTCTGTATTTTCGCTCTGCTAGTGCAACCTGCAATGGAACCCCATATTCTTTGGTCTTTGTGAATTTCACATCACCGGCTCCAAGAGCCAGCTGTGAGTCACATGGTATGTGGAAAGGTCCAGAGTTTGGGTGGGAATGACCAAGAGTAACTGAAATCATCCTCCAGTCACCTTCCCCTCCCATCCGCAGTCTGAACACAACCTCAGGTATCCAGCGTCCCTGGAGATGATCTCTAAGTGATGGACAGAAGGAAGGGATGAGAAAGCTGGGTCATGGGCTGGGTACCAATGGGGAACTGCAGGGAGAAGCTGCTGGCCTCTGTACAGCTGAGAAGGGTGGAGAGCTCCATCCCACACAGAACCTCTTTGCTCCAACACTGATTTCCTTCCACCTCATTCCATTCCAGTGTGAGCTGAAGCTAAGGATGAAATGCTGGGTGAGGAAGAATGCACTCTGGGAAACACTGGACAAAGCTACAAAACACACTTAGTTTTCTGAATCCAGTTCAATTCCTCAGCAACAATGGTCCCTCTGAAAGATATTCAGAGAAAGCAGGCATCACACGAAGAACTTTTTTTTTTTTTTTAAATTTTTGTAAGATTCTAAATAGAGGCTGTGCGTTGGATGTTCGGGATGAGGCAGTTTCAGCCACCAACTTGCAGCATGCCTACAGCTGCGGTCACCCCTTCATACATAACACATGTTCCAGCTCCACACCCAGATTAATCCACCCTGCCCAAC